TTTGAATTTTGAGACACAAGCTTGCCAAGTAGCTGAAGGTGACCTATAAATCGCTATGAACTCAGGCTAGCCTCAGACTCATCCCTAAGGGCTGGGATTGTAAGTGTGCCCATCACTCCCAGTTTAGAAATTCTTCTCTGTTGTGTCACAGTTTTTAATTTTATCTAAAGCCATTCCCTGAGGCTGGAGATGTAGCTCAGTGGTAGCGTGTGGATGAGCATGTGCTGTGTGGTAGACTCTTGAGTGCAGTCAACGCCCCCCTTGAAAGTCACTCCAGTTGGATCACAATCAGTTTTCTTTGTTTCCTTTTTTAAGATGGGGTCTCATCTAGCCACAAGCTCATTTTGTAGCTGAGTTTAAGTTCCTTCTGCCTCCGCCTCCAAGGTAATGGGGTTACCGGCCTGGGCCTCCACATCTGATGTATGCAGTACTAGGAATCAAATCTTTTGCTAAGCAGTACTCTGCTAGCTACATCCCCGTTCCCCCTTTTACAAATCTTCATCCTCTACATCTTAAGTATGAGGCTTATCTAAGATTTCAGAACTCACTTCATGCAGCTACACTTTCTCATACATTTTTCATAGTTTATCACATTCTAGCCCAACATAGTATGTTATGGCATTAATTTAGACCAATAAAATATCATTATTCCTTTATATTTGTGGAGCCGAGTCCTTATAGAGCAGTACATCCCTTTCTCTGTTACATGATATATTGCTTTAATTCAAGCGTCAATACAAGGTGGTGTGAGTTACAGCCAGTGCACACAGAACAGAAGCACAGCTATCCCATAGCTCACTTGGTTCCTCTTTGGGGATGCAAATCAGACTGACCACAGTTTATAAAATCACAAGCAACTGTATTTTTCTGAAATGTAGTAGGTCATATGTGTTTCACTGTAGTCAAGGAAGAAATATTTAGAGGAGGAGTGGAGAAGAAAATGGGAACATGGAAAGTATATTATATGCCTATATAAAAATGCCATGGTGGAAGCCATTTTATTTCTTTATTTATAGGTGGTTTTCTGGGACATGACATATATCTCCAAATCCCAGATTTTCAGTTGACTGTAGAGCCTGGCTGGCCTGCAGTTCACAGTCTTCCTGCCTTAGCTTCCTGAGTATTAATGGGATTATGGGTATGACCACCATACGCAATCCATTATTGTGTAAAATTACTATATGCTAAAGACAGATAGATAGATAGATAGATAGATAGATAGATAGATAGATAGATAGAGATAATATCATTATAGATTAGAGCATATAACTCAGTGGTAGAACCTCACTTGGCCTGCCTAGGGTCCAAGCTCAACATTCTAAAAAGAAGAAATTCAGGCCAGTGGGGAAGGGTGCTTCCTGCCAAACCTGACACCCACATGGTGGAAGGAGAGGACCAGCTTCCAAAAGTTGCCCTCTCGCCTCACACATGCTCACCATAGGACACACATGTGAACACACAATAAATATATATAAACAAAAAAATTTTTTTTGACTGCAGATAATCCTGAACTCTTAAACACCTCACTTACACAAAGATTTGTCTCTTAGAATGACTGACTTTCTGTGTTCTGTCAGGGAAAGACTTCTCCACCTCATGTTGGATATACTCCCAATTTTCTAAAAAACCTTTTGTTTCTAGAACCGACTTCCTCCCTTCCTCTCTTCCTCATATTGCCTCAGCCCTATGTCCTCACATCCAGCCCCTAATTTTGTCACTCGCTTTCACTGCCATCTTGCCTTGCCAACCAGAAGTGGTGATGCTGGCTTCAATTCCATCCACATTGATCCTGGGTCTTTGTTGCTGCCAATACCACTCTCAGTAGTACTTTCAGCTGTCACAGCTGGAGGAGGCAGAACAGGCTGCTGTGACTCAGTCTAAATTCTATTTGGGGGAAATGTGACATCCATAAGGTATAGAGTTCAGTGAATTACCACATCCTCTCAGTAACTTGGGAAGTCCTTTATCTGAAACACCTACGACAGAAATGTTTTGGATTTCAGAGTCTTTCAGGTTTGGGGTACCTGGGTGGACTTTGCCTGTGAGGCATCCTTATCCCCAAATCCAAAGCACTCACATACCTGCACCTTCGAGTGCTGTGGCAGTGCTCAAAGGTTTAGGTTTGGGATCTTTACACCAAAGATGCTCAGCAGTGACATAGGACTTAAAGGAGACTTAAAACAATAGCAGTGTATTTATTTCACTGTTTTTGCTGGCATCAGTGGGTGACTTAAAATAACAAAAACATATTAGCTGTTTTTGCTGGTGTTGAGGTGTCAGGAGTCCCTGAAACCCACAGACAAAACTGTAACAATAAGTCTTTCCACCAGGCCACCCAAGTTCCCCCTGCCGCCACGTTAAGGTCCCAAGTAACACACAGAGACTTATATTAAGTACAAATGCTGCTTGGCCAATGACTAGGATTTCTCATCTGCTAGCTCAGTCTTAATTATCAACCATAATCATAAGACTTATCTTATGGTGGACGCAGGCCTTTGTCCTGTCTTCCTGGCGGTTACATGGTGACTCCAGAGCAGAGAGCAAGAGAAAGAGCAAAAGAAAAGGGTGACTTCCTGTTTGTTCCTGCTTATATATGAGTCTGTCTGTGATGTCACTTCCTGCCTGTTTCACAAGACTTATTTTTACTACATTTCCCAGAATCCTCCATGACTCCTACTCCCACCTAACTTGCTGCCTCATTGGCCAAGCAGTATTTTATTCGACAATAAGATAAACATACACAGAAGAACCTTCCCCATCACAAAACCATCCTGTTTTTGTGGTCACCAATAGTCTTTGATGGTTCTCAGCTCTGAGCAGCATCTCTGTTACTGTGTGGAGCTTTCCCTAGATATCTGTCTTCTAAGCAACTAACCATATTGGATTCTGCCCATACTGCCCCCACATGATTTTATTTTAACCCAAATAAGTCACATGTGGAGGCACCAGGCTAATGTCACCAACATACCTTGGTGGAGGAAGATGGAATCCAGCCATCACATCCCCTGACTCCACCTCATCCATACACCTTCCTCTGCCACAATGGTAACAAAAGGGTATTTCTAATAAATTTTGTTCACAGTTAGTGAGCTAAGAGAGTACATTGTACTCAAACAGCCCCTCTCCTTCACATATTCAATATTTTAGCTTTCCAGCACTAATTCTTTTTATTTACCTGTATTTACTGTGTGTATGTGTGTGTGTGTGTGTGTGTGTGTGTGTGTGTACATATGCAAGTGCCTGAATATGTGTGTGTGAGAGAGGGAGAATGGGGGGGTGAAGGTTGTGAGTATATGTGTGCCAAAGTGTACGTGTGGACGTGGGAGTCTTCTATCATACGGTTCTGGAAATCCAGCTCAGGTCCTTGATGACAAGCACCTTTACCTAGTGATCCATCTTGCTAACCAAGCCATAGTGCAGCAAACCTCAATCTACTTGCTTCTCAGAGCAGTTACTTCTGCATTTCCTTATCATTAATTCGCTTTCCAAGCAATTGTTTTATAGAAGGCCTTTAAGAACTCTTTCAAAAGTCAATATTGCTGCAATAGTTCTTACTTTCTGCTATCAGAGAGCTTCTAGAACTTGCCTTTCTTCTTCTGGAACAATGCATCATCTCAGTCCATTTTGTGCTGCCATAACAGAGTACCCCAGACTGGGTTATTTATAAAATGAGTAGAAATTTATTAGCTCCTGGTTCTTCTGGCAGTGAGATGTCAACAATTGGGGAACTGGCATCTGGAAAGGACTTTCTTGTTCATGGAATGCTAAAGGGCAGGTGACAAAAAGAATGTGTGGACAGGAACCAAATCCAGCTCTTCTACAATGAATTTATTCCTGTGCTATTGATGATAGCAGGGCCCTTACAGCCTGATAGCCTCTAACTAGGTCCTCCCGATACTGGTCCATGGGAGTTAAGCTTCTAATACACGATTTATGGGAGATCATAGCAAGTTTATTCTTAAAGAACCCTCCTTTAAATGTACCGATAGCCCTGAAGTTTATACTTACCTACTTAAGAACATAAAATTTAAAAGCAAGCATCTTAGTCTTTTAATTGCTATGAAGAGACACCAGGACCAAGGCAACTCTTATAAAGAAAGCATTTAGATAGGGGCTCACTTACAGTTTCAAAGTGTTAGTCCATGATCGTTATGGTGAGAAGCATTTAGGCATGGTGCTGGAGCAGTAGCTAAGAACATTACATCCTGATCCACAGGCAGAGAGAGAGACATTAGGCCTGGTGTGGGCTTTCAAAACCTCAGAGCCCACCCCTAGTGACACACCTCCTCCAACAAGGCCACACCTCCTAGTCCTTCCAGTCCTTCTCAAACAGTTCTATGTCCTAATGACTAATCATTCAAATACATGAGCCCATGGGAGCCATCCTCATTCAAACAACCACAGAAAGTATAATTTTCAAAGAACATTCTGAAAAGTATAAGGAATGTTGTAAAAAAAAATTGTTGGGTTTTTTTGCCTAAATCTTCTCATGAAACTATTTTTTTAATGGTTCCAAAGACAATACAGCTGATTTGAGTGAAAACAACACAAACATCAAATTCACATATTTTGTGGCTAGAGCGTCTTGACCAATGAACAAGCACACTCGAAAAGGGGGCTATAGCAAAGTCAACAAGAAGCCAGCTACTAAACAAATTGTTGGTCCTTAAGTCTAATTGATACTCAGATAATGTATTCAGATCTACCGTAAGGTTGTGGGGGCACTGTGGAAAGCTCTTTTGAGCCACATGCAATACTACTGTCTGATGGTGAGGTGTATCCAGATTTTCACTGAGCGATGTGATTTATAGGTGTCTAAGAAAGCAATTTTAAGGCATCATAATACAAAGGTAATTGTAAGTTTTTCATTAATTTTTGTTCTGCAAAGAGACCAGTAAACTAATGGCTTATGCCCCCCCCCAATGACTTGGCATTATGAAAAAACAACCCTCCTCAGGACTGATGAATGTGTAATACATTTTCTCTCTTTCTTTTTCTAGCCAAGGACCGTTGTCATCCATTAGAGCGGTAATCAAGAGATGTAAGTCTGTTTTCTTCTGCTCTATATTTTCCTCTGTAGTCATTACAAATGATGGTTTAGGTTCCCAGCAAGTGATTGTAGATGATGAATCTACAAAGGCCCCAAAAAGTATAGCTTCTCCTAAGAGGCAATAACACATTTTTGACAGCTAGTTTTTCATTTGTCATTGAATGATAAGCCAGTATCTCAGAATTCTACTTTTCCCTCATAGAATCAAGTAATTTAAAACAAAATCTGGAACTGGTTATGGTGGCCATTCCTATAGTCCTAGCACTTCGGAGGTGGAAACTAGAGGATCCAGAGTTCATACTTATTCTTGGTCACATGAGGCCAGCCTGGGCTACATGAGACCCTGCCTCAAAAAACAAAACCAAAAACCTAAATCTGGTAATGTAATATCAATGAGCAGACAGAATTTTGTGTAACAGTTTTTCTAACATATGAGATATCTATCTTCTGGGTTTAAAAAGTATTAAACCCTGGACTAGAGGAATGGCTCAGTGGTTAATATCACTGGCTGTTCTTCCAGAGAACTTAGAAGAGCATGGCAGCTCACAACTATCTTTAACTCCAGTTACAGTGGACCCAATGCCCACTGGAAAACATTTTTATTTTGCATTACCTTTGGATGGTGTGGCCAGGTGGTGGCACACACCTTTAATCCCAGTACTTGGGAGACAGAGACAGGTGGCTCTCCATGGGTTTGAGGCTAGCCTGGTCTACAAAGCAAGTTCCAGGACAGGCTCCAAAGCTACAGAGAAACCCTGTTTTTGGGTGGGGGACTGGACAAAAAAACCTTTGGATGGTGTTTTAGAATTTGCTGTTGGTATAGGATTTAACATTTTATAAATAAAGTCTCCGAAAAGGTCCCGTATTTAGACAACACATGGATTACGTTTTACAGAAAAAGTAAAGATGTGATTTTCAATGTTTTGCTCAGTATCTGAGCCAAGATCACCACACTAAAAAGAATATATAGCTTATTTTTAGGACTATAACTTCTAATACATAATATGAATTTAAGGCATCCACATGTCATGAAGAACATGGATTTGAACAATTACAGTGAAAACTCAATATGGTGGCAGTTCATAAAAATGTGTCCTCTTGGGGTGGAGAGAAGGTCCGTGGTTAAGAACGTTTTCTGTTCTTTCAGAGGACTGGAGTTTTGTCCTTGGCACTCACATTGGGAGGGAAAAAAAAAATGACAAGAGATAGAATCTGTTGGTGTCTCTTAAAGCTGTTCCTTTTAAGGGACGTAATGGAGGATATGTGTGGTCATCTTTGTACACCCTTCCCTGCTGAGGAGGGGAGCATACTGTCACTGCCTGGCATCTTTCCCCTCCTTGCCTGGGATGTGAGGACTGTTCGGAGTTCCACTTTGTATCTAATTCCCCACAGAGTCCCCCAGGATGTAGTTTGCTTACACTATGCAAGGCTTAAAGAGAGGGTAGCTGAGGAGAAAGAGCAGGACAAACAAGAGAGAGAGAGAGAGAGAGAGAGAGAGAGAGAGAGAGAGAGAGAGAGAGAGAGAGAGAGAGAGAGAGAGAGAGAGCAGAGAGGGATAGTAGAAAAACCAGGGGACAGTAACCTGTGAGGCTAAAGGATTTGGCCATGAAAGGAAGAACGTGTTGGAGTAGAGCCAGGAGGTCAAGCGAAAGGTGACCAAGGACAGGCTATTCTGTGTCATACCTGGGAGGTCAGTGGAGACAGCCGTGACAGTAGAACATTTGAACAGTGAATGGAATGAAGTTTGGGAGTGACGAGAAGAGAGAGTCTGGTGTTTGAAAAGTCAGCAGAGTCATGCAGGCAGAACCTGTTTGTAGACTACTAAGGACGAGGAAGTTTGGGGGTGTTTGGGGGAAGAAGTCACTGGGGATCAACTGGGGTGTGAGAGAAGAGGAAGGTGGCACAGTAGCACTAGCAGAGGAGGGAGGAGAATGGAGCAAAGGGAAACAGCTAGATTTTGGTTTCTGATGACCCAACTGTCTTTTAATTCCCATGTGTCATTTACATCGTAACAACTACACCAGTGTCTGCATTTGTTCTGTTGGTAGACAAGAAGGCCAGACAGATGCAGTGTTCTCATTCATATAATCAAAATGAGGAGGGATCACCACCACCACCACTCCTCCTTTTGTCTATTTAAGAAAATCTGTAGGGCTAGAGAGATGGCTCAGTGGTTAAGAGCACTGGATGCTCTTCCGAAGGACCAGGTTTGATTTCCAGAACTCATATGGCAGCTCACAAACATCTATGACTCTAGTCTCAGGGAATCCATACCCTTTTCTGACCTCTGAGGACACCAGGCATGCACGGAGTAGAAGCAGGCAAGCATCCATATATATAGTTACTGATGGTGGGTGCTGGGAATCCAACCTAGGTCCTCTGGAAGAGCAGCCACTGCTCTTAACCAGTGAGCCATCTCCCCAGCCACTGATTTAAAAAATAATAATAATAAAAGTTGGAATTTTTTTAAATCAGAGTAGCCAATTAAGATGTATGTTTTATTAGCCCAGAATCAACCATTTAACCCTGACAAGAAGAGAGCCTTCGTTACTTTTTTAAGGCAATATTCCACAGCCAGTTGCTTTTCAAATTCTTTAATATTGATTCTAGCTCCAGTCTATGGTGAGTCTTCGTGAATTCATTCTTATGAACCCTAAATATTTTTTAAAGTTTTTTTATATGTGTTAATTGGATCTATATGGCCTTTATTAACTTTTTGCCATTTATTTGCTTTAAAAAAAAAAAAGACAGGATTTTGTTAGGTAGCTCAGGCTAGCCTGGAACTCATTATGTGTACCAGGCTGGCCTTGAACTTATAGTGATTCTCATGCCTCCAAAGTGCTGAGATTATAGGTGTGTACCACAACTCTTGGACCTTTCATTCGATTTTTTAGACAAAAATATCCTTGGAATTCCAATGTAGCCGACACTGTTTCCATACCGTAAATTGGGAACTGTTTCACACTTAGGAAGCAACCCTGCCTGCAGATTGTGAGCTAACCCTGTTTTACAACTGAAGGGAAGCTGAATTCAGGGAGGTAAATAGTTCACAAGGTGGAGCTGGGATGTGGACGAGGCTACCAAACGTGAAGGCCACTGAGTTTGCCATCAAGGATTCCCTTGATGTCATATCACATGTATCTGCTGACACCCTGTCCAAAATAATGTAGCCATTGAGTTTTTTATTACTGTGACTTTTACCAACAGGGTGGTTATATAACAAGAACATTTATAACCTAAAAACCCTTATATATATTTTTCCTCTAATCATTTAATAGATAATTTTAAATAATTTAGGATCAGGACTAACATCCAACTCACCCAGTAACACAGGAGCCAAACAATTTGGAGAAACAAACTTCTCCCAGCCCTTGGCCACCATCACAGCTGTGTGACCTCCTCGGGTTGCTGACCTGAATATACATCTCTCTCCCTGTGCTTTTAGGAGGATCAAAGAGGGTCTGTCCAGGCTTATGATCCCACTAAAACTTGAAGGGTTCTGTATTGGTGGTAATATCACAAATCAACCTCTCAACTTACTTCTTAACCATCTGAAACTATGGTGCATCACTTTTCTTCTCCATTTGAGTGTGAGGAATGGGGGAGAAGTTGGAGATCTCCCCTGCAAAAGCCCATCTTTAGAATGGGCTCCTTGAGAATGGAGGCTATAATGTCTTTAAGTAAAAAGCAACATGGCAGGTGGTCTTGCTGCTGACTTCCTCATAGAGCATAGGCAATTGGCTCTCCCTATCCCCCGAGCCCCTTTCCTCTTCTGTAACCCCTTCTTTTTCTCCCTTAGCACTCATGAATAGTACACAGCACAATGCCCCGTGGAAGAGGTACGTTTATGCCAGTAAGACTTAAGTCTTGGGTAAAGTGCCAGATCTTCGGATTGCTGCTTCAGTGGTGATGGTGGGGACATGACTTCAGCGTACTGGGGCAATTCTGATGCAATGAAACCTTCTTACCAATCAGATATCTCCCCCAGAGCTCTGATCTCTGCTGCTCTAGTAGATAAATGCCTCTCAGGGTGGCTCAGCTTTGATGCAAATGTCAAATGTCAGTGGAGCCAGCTGATGCCATGAACGTGTTCCAAGTCGAGATCCACACATGGTTTTGGGTTTCATATGATGAGTTTCACCTATGCATCCCAGTATTGGTTCAGCTGTCTCAGCTCTAAGTGTAGCCCAAATTTCATTCCTGCCTTCACTGGTGTCCACCCTCAGGTCTGGCAGCCATGCTCAGAGAAAGTTGAAAGATGAAGAAGAGATGCACACTTCCCATCTTCCCAAATAAGAAGCACTGGGAGAGTGTAGTGAAGAGGCAGGCAGTGAAAGCACCATTCAAGTAGTCTGTCTCGAAAATGAATGCCCTTGTGTGCAAGTCTTTATGGTAGAGTAGATGAAGAGTCCACCCACCAAAGGGATCTTTGAAAATAGAGATAGTTATATCAAAATGGATTTCCAAATGTGACCTATCTGCCACATTATGCTATTGAATTGATTTGCTTTATAAATAAATTTCAAGAAAAATTTAAGCCATAGAGCTTTTACTGGGGCAGGGTGAGGTGATTAGACAGAGTCTCACTGAGTAGCCCTGACCAGCCTGGAACTCACTATGTAGACCAGGCTAACCCTGGACTCACAGAGATCTGCCTGCCTCTGTCTCAGTACTGGGACTAAAGACATGTGCCACCATACCCGGCTGCCATAGAGAGCCTTGAGATTGAGACTTGAGATTGTGAAAGTGTTTTGAGTACCTTTATATTATTATTATTAAAGATAATGAAGAAAACTACTGTAAAGGTCAATAAGGTTAGAAAATAGGTTTTAAAATGTATTACTTCTACACTTATTACAATAGAAATTTAAACTATTGTAATAGGATAGTCCCGTAGATATGTTTAAATTTTTCTTCCCATTGTTACTTCATGTCACAATTTCACTGTGCCACCATGCAGTTTCTCTCTCTTTGTTCATTCTTCACACTGTGATTGTCAGAACAACATGATATTTTAGATGCTATTTAAAATCTATTATTTTCTTCTGCAATGCAAATATATGATTATAATTAACTGTGCCATATTCAAAGATCATTTTGATTTCTTTTTCTTAGTGGTATTAAAAGTAATACCTTTTATACTAGTCCTGTCTAAGCTAACTTACTCTTAATGGTGTACTCTATAGAAATTGAATCTTCACTGAATATACTAATTTGGTGCTATACTAGTTTACTTTTTCTCTCACAGCTTCTAGGACCTGTATTCAGAGTGAACTTCATCGGGATAGGAGGTATGGTTACATTTACAATAGAGGACAAATTCTGATCGTGTAAATTAAAGTATCTCATCAATTGGCAAATTATTTTTGCCCTCATAAACAGTGTTGTACTGAGTTCTACCTCAGCAACACATCTCTGAATCAATCTGCAAGATTGAGAAATTAAGGTTTGCTTTAGAAAAGTAACACTGGCCTTAAAAGATTCTTCTGTGAACTAGTAAACAAGGAAGACCCTAAGAGAGACAAACTTCCACTGGAGAAGGGGAAAGGGTCACCATCCCCTGAGCAAATTGAGAACATGGGGAGAGGGGGGAGGAAGCTATGAGAGTGAGAAGGGAAGAAAAGGAAGGATGCAGAGGTCATGAGGAAGCAGAAATTTTTAATCAGGTGTAGATTAGAAGAAAGGACATATGACAGGTAGGATTTTAGTTGGGGGGTGGTAGAGGAGGAAGGGAGGGAGAAGGTAACTGGGATTGTCATGTAATTCAATCTTGTTTGTGATTCAAATATATAAAAAAATAAAAAATTGTAAAGATTTACAAAAGATTATAAGGTAAGAAAAAAGATTCTTCTCCGTTTGATGAAACCAATTTTAAATTAATTATTAAGCAACTATTAGATGTAAAATGTTATTATAATGGCTTAGAGGAATAATCTATTCTTGCATAGATATATGAATGGAGGGCAGGGTAGAGAATGAGTTAAAAGGGTAAAAGAAGAGGCTAGATATGTTTGTGGATGGATAAATGGTAGAGGTGAGTAGAAAGAGTGGTGATAGAGAAGTGAGTCGGGGGATGGATAGATAAGATAGATGATAGAAGATAGATAGATAGATAGATAGATGAAGATTGGAAAGTAGATAGACAAAAGGATGGGCAGGCGGATAAATGAATGGACAAAGCTTTGAGTCAACATCCCTGCTTTCAGTAAAGAATAATGACGAACAAGGACTATTTTGGGTATTGGAGAGAGAAGAGTCTCCCTCAGTAGCCCAGGCTGGTCTGGAACTCATTATGTAGCCCCGGCAAACCTCAGACTTGCTACAGACCTCCAGCCTCTGCTGTCTAAGTGCTGGGATTACAGATGTGGGCCACTTATCCCAGCAAGACTTTAGACTGAGACAGAGCCAAGTTCAAATCCTGACTTCAGTATTTTCTAACCATATGACCTTGGACAACCTACTGTACTTCCTTAGCTTCCATGTCCCTCTCTATAAAATGGTGCTGGTCACACCCGCCTCACAGGTTGTCATAGGGATTAATGTATATTTATAGTGCTCAACATTAACAGGCAACAGTTAGAAAAGGCTATCAGCAGGGGTTTTAGGGAATTCAGTTCAAACTTAATTAATACTCCACAAGCTAGTAAGAGAATATGTATATATGCACAGTTTTGATAACATATTTTCATTGAGTACTGGAGAAGACAAAATAAATATCATTATTCCTGTTTATTAGATAAGAAACTGAAGTTCAGAGACATTGACTGGCCTTCCCAGGGTCACGTAGTTGGAGTTTGCTAGAAAAGCAAGTTGAAAATGAAGCATAAGGCTGGGCATTGGTGGCTCACACCTTTAATCCCAGCACTGGGGAGGCAGAGGTAGGTGGATCTCTGTGAGTTCGAGGCCAGCCTGGTCTCCAGAGTGAGTGCCAGGATAGGCTCCAAAGCTACACAGAGAAACCCTGTCTCGAAAAAAGAAAAAGAAAAAAGAAAATTAAACATTAAACTGTAGATTCAGAAGCCAGGCACAATAGCGCACCCCTTTAATTCCAGCACTCAGGAGACAGAAGCAGGCAGATCTCTGAGTTCGAGGCCAGCATGGTCTACAGAGTGAGTTCCAGGACAGCCAGAGCTACATAATAAAACCCTGTCTCAAATAAACAAACAAACAAACAAAAATGTTGACTAAAGGTAGGAAGGTTTTCCTGAGTCACTATGACACAAGTATTCCAGATGAATCATCAAGTCTTGTACAAAATTGACTAGGGATGTGTATTTACACACCAGGTTCTCAAGGTAAACACATAAATTTAAAACATTTAAAGGTGACTTCCAGTTAGGGCAGAGGTAGAGTGAGAACAATGATATTCATCACATGGTATCTTTCACTGTGTATATCCTTTACCATCATAAAACCAAACAAGTCCACCACCAGGATATTTTTCTACTGCGTGCCACACATTGGTGCCATCTGCTAGCCAATGGCAGAGCTGTGGAATAAATCTGAAAGGCCTTAATTATCCCTGTCCACTATCAACCAAAGCAGGGCTAAGCATACTGGACCTAATTCTCTAACTTTTCAAGATTCTTGGAGGGTGTTAGTCATTTGCTCCCTTGGAGTCTTCCTGGCTACACTATGTAACCACCAAGTCCCAAAAGGCCATTCTGAGACCTCTAAACCATGAGTCTCTGAACACTGATAGACAGATGCTGGTAACTTGTTTCCTACCTGAGAACCTCACTGGGGCTCCATCTTCCAGGCGCCCAGAGATCACCATTGTGGCAGCAGAGCCACTGAGGCCGGCCTCGTGGTTTCCAGGAGCTCCACCACCAGGACTGGGATTTCCCTCCACCCCTGTAGCAGGCCCTTGGAGACCAAATGACTTGGTTCCTGCTGAGGTTTGTAGACACGGTGTTACCCCTTTGCATTCTGTTTTTCAAATTAAATTCAAAGGTTTTCACAGTGAGACTTTCACACCTTGCCTATTGCCGGTAGATGCAGGCAGTTCTCTTTCTTTGCTTTCCAGCTTCCGCCCTCCTATGAGCAAGTGATAAAAGAGATCAACCAAGTTCAGGTCAACACTACAAATAACAATAATGCCGCTGCCACGCCAAGGAGCACTATTACTTCTGCAACTCAGACCGACTTTCCGGAAGAAATAGACAGCGATCTGCCTCAAAGTAATGCAAGTAACCCGTCTCCCCTAATTCTGGCCTAGTTCTCTGACTGGAATCAGCCAGCCTCCAGCCTTTAAAATAATCTGCAAGTCGTGCGTAACTATTGAGCCCTATTTCCTAGGCTCTGTGATTACTGTGTGCTTTCTTAATTTGGGGATACAGCGATTGCTAGAATAGATCTTTCCTGAGAGCTTCAACCCCAATTTCTGGCCCGTATCACAAAACCATCTTCTGTTTAACTCCCAGTCTGTGTTACCATGGGTCCCCTTTGTTCCCATTGAGAAGGATTTTTACATTTAGTGAGTTCAGCTGGCAAAAGAAGCTGGGCTTCTTCAGAGTCGTTCAATAGGGAGATAGAGATAAGGAGAGTGACTTGCCTTGGTAGGTAAAGCATTGAAGCTTTTGGAGTTTTGACAACCAGATAGACGTGGTTCCTGTGATGTCTAACGAGAACCAGGAATCTAATGGTATTTTAAATAAACAAATTCAAGTTGCACACTGCTGTAAGCTGACTACCAACAATTCCCTGGTGGTTTTGCAATTACTTTTACTGCTTAAGGAAGCCAGATCTCTTGGTAGCCTATATGCATATTTAAAAAATCTATATGTCTTCTGTCAAGTTTTTTGCTTTCAAATGATAACACTGTAACTTTGCTTTGTTCCTTTGGTCTTGTCAGCACTACAGGCACCTCTCAAGCCTCTGCAGGCATCTCCAGCAGCCTCAGCCGGTGACCTCCCACCAAGTGTAGCGCCTTTAATAGTCTTTGATATTTCTGAAGAGCAGACTTGTCCTGAAAACCCCAGTGCTACAAGATGTCCAGTGCCAAGACCAAGATCAAAACCCAACCTCAGACCAGTAGCTAGAGATACTAACAGTGAAGAAAAAGGTATCCAGAAAAGCCCAGTGGGCCCCAGAGAAGACTGGCCACCCCCGTGTCTGCTGGACAGCACCTGCAACTTAGATAGTCAGGCTGTGATGAACATTATGAACACAGAACAAAGCCAAAATAGTATTGTTTCCAGGATCAAAGCATTTCAGGGTCAGACAAATACAGAAATCTCAGAACTGCCCAGGAAACCAGAGATTATTCCCCGCACAGTTCCCCCGAAGCCTGCTGTTTCCTCAGGGAAACCTTTGGTGCCGCCCAAGCCAGCTGCTAACCGGGATTCTGGACAGTGGGGCTCTTGGACCGGAAACAGGTTCAAGGTGACTTCCAGAGAAGGGCTCACCCCATCCTCCTCGCCACAAGAAGCCGAAAGTATCTCAGTAACCAAACCTGAATTGCCAAAGAAACCAACTCCTGGCCTTACACGAAGTGTGAACCATGAGATTTCGGGAGGAAGGCCCGTGGCCGAGAGCCCAGATGCAGGGAAGAAAGTTCCAACTCCTGCACCCCGGCCTTTGCTACCGAAGAAATCAGCGTCTCCAGATGCCCCAACTTACCCTTCGGTTCCACCAAAACTGGTTTCAGTTCCTCCCCGCCTCTCAGTAGCATCACAAGCCAAAGCGTTCAGGTCACCGGGAGAAGGGCCTCCAGCCAACACTCCAGCTCCAACCCTGCAGAACAAGGCGCTGGGAGACATTGACCTCATCAGCTTTGACGATGATGTTTTGCCCACCTCAGGGAGCCCAGCCGAAGAACACATTGGTTCTGAAACGGTTCTAGGTGAGTAAAATGCTGAATTGGGGGCAGGAAACCTGAACTCATCAATGGTGTCCACAGTGTCACTTGCTGGTTTGGTTTTCAGTAAATATGCATGTATAGAGATGTGTGTATGTTTCAAGATAGTATAACAGAAATGAGAGACACAGAATAAACTGAGACGGGAGGGAGACGGAGACAAGAATGAATGGACATATGCTAGAACACATTGGTTTCTGATATATGGGCCAGCGGTAAGCAGACAGGTTTCTGATATTTGGGCTGGTGATCAATTTGTTGTGATGCTGGCTTCCCTAATTAGCAGTTTGAAGTTCAGGCCTCACATTGAAAGGATCTGGGGACAGCAGTAGGAGAATAAGATGGAAGCTTCTCACAGATAGAAAACCATGTGGTGACCCCATAAGGTTCCTGGCTGAGAGCCAAAAGGCCTGCCAAGGATGGGTCCTGCAAGAGTGATGTGTGAAGCTAGGACCCACTTGCTACAAGAGTCTTTCCCATAACCCTCACAGTATACCTGGCAATGCAAATTTCTGTAAATAAAACTCAACAATTGTCAGTGTGCTGCCAAGATCAGGATAATTAAATTTCCCGAAGGCCAAAAGAACGTTTTTCTTTCCTCATACTGTTCAGATAGCAAGGCTTATCTCTCTATAATGTGAAGCTTATCTTCGACCCTTCAAACCAAGCTGATCCACAGATTACTGATAAAATTCCTATTACATTGTTTGCTTATTTGGATAAGCTTTGTGGGCTTATAAGCTTAATAGTATTTTCCAGATTTTTAACTGTTACCTTACAAATATTAAGCATGCCTCAGAATGATGTAGAACACAGGATTTCAAAGCCAAAGTCTGGCCAAGCAGGATAGTACTCGGAAGGCTGAGTTAGGAAGATCACAAGTTCAAGGACAACGTAGGCTATGTCTGAGACTTGCCTCAAACAAACAAAAAAATCTTGTATACCATATACATGGTAGTGCACACAACAATATAACTGGTTATGGCAAATAAAGCAAAAAGCTATATGTCATATCCATAAAAAGCAGAAGGAAAACATTAGACTATATTGAGCATCTGCTGGTGGTCCTAACACTGTGAGGGATATTATTTTTATTTAATGCATACAATTCAAACATAATTTGATTTAATGCAGAAACAAACCCTCAGTAGGGCATCAATTGCTTACTTTGCCAATGAAGTAAACAGACTGAGAGACTGTCAATACCTCATGTCATAAAGCTGTTTTCCCAGCCAAGGCTCGTGTGTGTGTGTGTGTGTGTGTGTGTGTGTGTGTGTGTGTGTGTGTGTGTGTGTGTGGTGTGTGTG